GCCGTGTGAAGACGGGGCGGATCGCTAGTAAATAGTATAAAACAAATTCGCTCTCGATTTTTGTACGCTTAGATCTTTAAAACCACGCAACGTATTTTAATGCGGTTTTCAGCAATAGATAAAGTGATTCAAGCGGAAGGTTGATTGGTATATATGTAGTATTATAGGAGAGCAATACCGAGAATATCATACATTTGTAATGTGATGTCATAACGTACGTAACGCTGGCAAAACATTACGAAATAGCTCAAATTAATGTACTACGGAATTGTATATCTTAAAAGCATCGATAAAAAAACGTACATAGCACCAGCGCGAACAGTATAAATTACAATTTAAAATCCAATGATGTTTCAAAATTCACCGAAATCGTTTCAAGCTTTTAGTGTACGATCATTTTCTGATATGTGACTTTATTAATAAATAATAATAAACATAAGTATTTGTTGCTTTACGATATATTAACAACGACGTGTATGAAAATTTATAGCGGCTGTGAACGCTTAAGAAAAAATTAACCCAAATCGCACGAGATCATTACTGAGTCAACATTTCTGAATTCCTCCCGTTGAATTTGAAAATGCATTTTTATAGAGCCGAAGACCTTACGTTCTCTCTAAGCACTACACACACTAACATGTCCAAATGCGTATGCGATAAAGAGCAAAATCGATTGCGAGCAGCAATCTCAAGTGTGCTCACATTGGTGTGTTTTAATTTCGAAAGCTGTGATAATATTATTGGAATAAACTTTACGATGTTCGCGGTAAGACTGCGTGCAGCCATTTATAAAAAAGTGTATTGAGCCACTAAAATAGCGATGTAAAAACGCTACCGATTATTAATCGAAAGCTTATAGTTTTTTTGAAACCAAAAATCACTTTTATTGTTCTCTTTATGACTGCTGATATCGAGTATAAGTAGTGAAATGCTTCTAATTTTTTCGTGTTACTTACCCGAACGGCCCTGCCCATTCGTGCAACAGCGAAGACTGTTGCGTGGCCCTACCACATATAAAATTGGATGGGTAAGAATTTAAATTGTATCCTATATCATTCTCTCACCGGCTGAATCCTATATATTTATGTGTCGCTTTGTCGTGACGATTTTTCGTTTCATAGACTTTCAAAACAGATTCTAAAAAATTTTCACTTCAATATTTCGTAAAATCATTTTCAGTAATCGGGACATACTCCATAGGATTAAATAAGGTTTAACATATAGAGGGTAATTTTTAATTTAAAATCCAATTTCATCAGATCTAATCTGTTTAAAGGCGCTCACTTCATGGCCCGACACAATTAAGTGAGCATACAGATTCGAGGCCATTCGATTCATACAAAGCGATATGTTAAATGTATCTTTCCTTACACAAACTTAAAACACTTGAATTTGAAGTCGATAGGTAAGAAACTCGCATTTGCAAACTTCCATCATGATATTTTCTTGCCAATCTTTCAGAATATGTTACGAATTAATTCCTTAAGACAATTTATATTTATTCACGGCCAACCTTTTGATTCTCGATTCAATTAGTTCTTTTATAATTGTTCGAAAAATTTTCAAATGAATAATTCTTTACGTTTGTGTGCGTACTGCTGCATATGTTGTGCCGGGCAGAAGGATGATATTGGTTTTACGTCATGTAAATCAGTATTTATTTGGTAGGTGAGGTTACCGTCTGACATAACCCGCTATGGCCCCCGTGAGGGCGGTTATGCGTAGGCGTTTACTAAACGTTGACAAAAAATTAATAAATAAAACAGGTTAAGTGCGAGTCGGACTCCCTCACAAAGGATTCCGTACCATTGTCCATAAAAACGGCAAACAAAAATGTCTGTGGTATTGGAGCCCCACTTAATTTTTTTTTATTTTGTTTTTATGAATTTGTTGTTATAGCGGCAACAGAAATATATCATCTGTGAAAACTTCAACTGCTTAACTATGACGGTTCGTGTGATACAGCCTGGTGACAGACGGACAGACAGACAGACAGCGGAGTCTTAGTAATAGGATCCCGTTTTACCCCTCGAGTACGGAATCCCAAAAAGGTGAGGTTACCGCGATCTGACACTCTTTGACGTTGACACGGTACAACCCTGTGTGTCCATTTGTCAACATTAGGCGAAGAACCGCTTGATCTTTTGCCGCCTCCCCCATAAATGTAATTTGGCCAGGTTTGCTATCATTTAAATAATTACCCAGGTTTTTGTATCAATTATTGTGTAATTAACTCATCAACCCGTTTCAATTTGGACGTTGTTACGTATATTGCAATTAGCAAAGAACCGCCAGATCTATAAAGTTGCGTCATATTGATTGATATAGTAATTGCACATAATTTTATTTTACATTTATGGTGATATGCCGTAGTAGTACAGCGCTCGGTTTTAACTCATTATTACTAGAGCAAACTGAGTTCGACGTATTATAAACATAATTTTTTTTATGTTTATTTAATTTTACGCGGACAAACATTCCGATGCGAAACAGTTATCTGTGGGTCGCACAAATAGTTGTCCCGTGTGGGAATCGAACCCACCACCGCTGACGCCGAAGCCAATACCTTGGCAACTGCGCCACGGAGTCATATTGAAAACGTTACTTGCGATTTTGACTGCAGATTTGTACCTGCTCGACGGTAAAGGAAAATATTGTGAAGAAACCTCCATTTCTGTAAAACGTAAAGTTTAAAAAACATTTTTGGAACTAGGTGCCCTTTTTTTATAGTATTAAATCCTTCCGTGGACCGTAAGGAACATACAAAAAATAAATTAGCCGAATTGGTTAAGCCATTCTTGAGTTATGCGCTTACCAACATTAATTTTTATTTATTAAGATATATATGATTAAATACACAGTGGGGTCGAGTGTGCTTATAATATTATGACTGTTAACCTGTTATTTATACTTATTATGATTAAATTTACAAATTAAGATTATGGTATTTTTAGTTCTTTCTTAATAATGAATTTACGATTTTTCGTGTCTTCATTTCCTTATCCTGACATATAAATTTGAATATTTTGAATGTTAATTTGCAAGACTGCGCTGGATTTCTTGAGAGGATACTTTTATCCCGTAAAATGCACGCACGAGAAGAAACACTGGGGATAGCCGCTGGTAAAAGCATGTTGCATACACGGAAAATGGCTATAAAACAAAAACTTTATTGCATGACTTGTTTGCAAGCTTTGTTATCAAAAATGCGTTCAACGAAATTGGTTATCACATAAGAACGTGATAAACAATAATATCGATTATGTCCAATTATTTTTAATATAAGGGCGTCCTGAATGGGCTGATTGATGAATAGGCATCAACGACTAATTACTGCATTACTTATAACCTGATCTCTCGTCGAGAATGTTATTCGTGTAAAGCAATAGAACACTTTCTAATATTTAACAGCATTTATTAGTTTGATCTTTATTGGTATTTCCAATAATAACTATCGTAATAGTTTTAATTATTTTTTTCTTTTGTATGGAATTTCGGTTTGCTTTTTAAATTTCCGTTGTGCTTAAAGTATACAGTTGCCGGACAAGTGATTAAATACTAAGTCTTCCGCTGCTGTAGACCGTAGCTTTATTTATTAATTTTTAAAAAGTACATGGAACAACTAATCCTTTAGCTTCGGCTTAGTCGTAGATTTGATTCCCACGCAGGACAAGTATTTGTTTGACTCACACATAACTTTTCCCGATCTGGGTGTTTGTTTCCATGGAGGGTTGACGTCGTACAAATAGCCATAACAGTTTGAAATATAATTCACATGATTGTGTTCTGACCCCACTTGTCTAAAATGAGGGCAGAAGAACAAGTTAAATATCTCCAGAGCCGAATATCCAATACTTGGTTAAATCATAAAATCAATATCACTTTTTTTTTGGGCTTGATGAGCCACTGTTGGCCTTAGGGGCCTTCACAGATCCGACAGACTTGAGGTGGCCTGGCGCTCGGGGCGTCTAGCCTGAACCTCGGCGTATTATTATTACGCGTTGTGGTGACTAAGCTCGAGGGCTCCCGAGGGAGCCTCGGCTCGGGCCGTCACTCTATCACCGGTTTGGGCATCAATATAAATAAAACCTGTTCACTCAGTCGAAACTCCTGAGGTAACAAACATAAAAAATACAATCGAATTGAGAAATAATTGAAAGAAACGACTCCTTCTTTGAAGACGGTTGAAAATGATAATGTTACATGAATCTAGGATAGATTTCCGGGAACATTATTATACATTTTGTAGTTAGCACATAACGTACTCATTAAGAGAGCGAGGAATTTCTATAGATACTTTGCGCAGAGGACCTAAAGTCCCACATACCGTCACATCGAATTCCACAAACATGTCCAAAAGACTCAAGCACCATTTTCTTTTTACTTTTAATTGAACTGATGCTTTTGCTTTTACTCCGTAGACTATTAAAGTTTCATCGAAGGCGGAACTCGTGGGCTAGGTGGAACCCTCGGCCAACTTCTTTTTAGGGTTCCGTACCCAGAGGGTAAAACGGTACTCTATTACTAAGACTCCACAGTCTGTCTGTCCGTCTGTCACAAGGCTGTATTTCATGAACCGTGATAGACAGTTGAAATTTTCACAGATGATGAATTTCTGTTGCCGCTATAACAACAAATACTAAAAAAAACTAAATAAAAAAATATTTTAGTGGGGCGCACATACCACAGACTTTTTATGCCGTTTTTATTGATAATGGTACGGAACACTTCGTGCGCGAGTCCGACTCGCACTTGGCCGTTTTTTTATATTGTTTTTTATTTCGAACTGGCCAGCACTTGACTGCCATCCCACCTGATAGTAAGTGGCGATGCAGCCTTTGATGGTAAGCGCGCTAGCTTAGTAGAAACCTATTCACTCTTGCCTTGAAGACGCCTACGTTGTAATCGGACGGAAAGACGGACGCCGGCAGTTGCCTTTGTTCCATTCCTTAGCTGTGCGGATGATAAATGACGAAGCAAATCGCACATATCATATCTCAGCCAGTATGTGTAAATGTAAGAATAGAAATACGAACCTCATCTTGGAAGGTGCGGTGCAATGACTCCTTGTTGTACCGCTGATCGCCCTGCTTCAAAATGGCCGAGCACTGCTTCAGTAGAGCCATTCGCATCCTCTCCTTGGCACTCTCCTCTTCCATAAACGACATCCTGTGTCCACTCCTGGGCGCTCCCATAACGCCCTTCGGCAATTCAAGCTTGCCCTTATTGTCGCAAGCGACGCCATTTCCATTCGATTCGCGCGCTTTCGTTTGACAGCTGTCAGTTTTCCCGCCTTCGACATTGTCAATGTTTATGGTAACGATTTCTTTGGGTGGGTCTGCGTTTTTTTCATTACAGTTACTGGTGATTTTATCATCTTTTTCATCCTCAAGACATTGTCCGTTTTGTGTCTCGGCCATGTTTAATTGACGGTGAAAATTCCTCTTAATTTGACATTAAGTTAATTTCACTTCACATAGTCGACGCCGTATTTTGCGTCGATTTTGCAAACGTTTTGAAATATTAACACACCTTAGCTTAAAGGTTAATTCTATGCGGCCGAAGCAATTAAAAGTTACTTAGTTAAAACATCAATTAATCTTCTAAACAACTTGAATTAAAACTTGACAGAGTACGCAAAGCTCAATAAGACTCTGATTTGTGGTGTTTTGCTTTGTTCGGTTTGCTATTACCGGAAATCGATGGTTATATATTAGTATAATAAATATTTTATTAACGACCGCTTAAATTTCCTTGCTTTCTTGTCTGTCAATTCCCCTATACAAATGATACTAGTAACACTAGTAACGTAGTGTTGTTTGTTTGATATAATTTCAAAGTCCGTACGTATCCGTATCTAAAATTCCGTACACAACCCTAATATTGAGAACTAGATTAGGCAGAAAGATGTTGTGAAAACATTTGTAAAATCCAATTTCGTAAAATCCTTGCTTAGCTGACCTCTACTCGGCGAAAGGAATATTCCTACCAAATTTCAAGTCTCTACGCCTTATGGTTCCAGAGATATCGTGACGAGTCAATTATCAATGGAAATCTCTTATATATACGAGTATATATTACGACGACAACTTTTGTATGGAGATATGCCCTAAGAATGTTCAAAAAGAACTGGTAAATGTTAGTTAGGTTTAAGGATGCTAATTTCTGTAGGTATATGAAGAAAAATATTTTTCACTTAATATAAATTTTACATTCATGTATAATAATTAATCAATGAATATAATGAATATGATTTTACAATATGTGTAAATCAAGTGACCATTGAAGCCTTTAGGAGAGGTCATAAGTTCAATCTCAAATTTTTCGGGTTTCTGTATCTAAATTGGTAGAATTAATCACTATTTTGAACTTTTCTTGACTTCTTTTTCTTAGGAACGAGTTGAGATATCAAGTACTTATCTATTTATGTACTAAGGACTATGGTACTTAAAAAAATGAAGTTATCTTCTATTACCGCGAATAGTCATTTTATCTTATATTTGAGTTTTATTCGTAAATCATGAAAGTTGACAAAAAGCTGGATATCTTAATAACAGCACAAGAAAGAATTCTGAAAAATTGTAAATTAGAAATTATTACATAAAATAATTAAGTTTTGTATGGAACCCTTAAAACCCGAATCTGCTAAGGCATTAGATCTTTGTAAGAATAAGTCTTTTACAAAATTCGTTTCAAATGATTGAAAATTGTTCAAGTGTTGTCGACGAGATTTTGGTTTCGACAGAAAATTACGACTTATTTCATTTTAAGTTGTACTGGTAAGAAGATTGTAATGCTATGGTGAGGGAACTTAACATAGTCAAGTAAATTAACATAGTCGAGTACATTAACTCAATTTTCTGTCGGTCCGTCTGCTATTTAAGTACTTTGCAAATGATTAGTATACCCGTTCTGGAAGTTAGTTTATATATCTTATATAAAACTCTCCTTGAGTTTTGTATAGTACCGAATTCTTTATTCGTATGAAATTTTATGTAAAGTTTTTAATCAGTTTGAGTTTATTAATATTATAACCGCTGTAAATTGTTATAATGTTAAACTGCGAACAATGACGTCTGTCGAATAAAGTATTTTATTAATATTATTACTAATAGAAAAAAAAATGCAAAGAATGACGCCATAACATAATTGAATTCAGTAAATGGGTAAACTTGAACTTTTCATGTTAATCGTTGAAATTACAACTCTGTAATCTACTAGATTGAGATCGGACAATTTTTATCGAATATAAAACGGGTTTATTAAAATGTTATAGAACAATTTTTTGCGTAAATTATACGTTTGAATGTTTTGTTAATTATTAAAATGTGTGGATGTGTGTAGTGTGTACTTAGTTTAATTAATTTAATTACTTAGTTAAATGTATAAATTATTTTACGAATCATCTTATGATACCAATTAATTATATGATTTGAAACTGAATGAAGTTTTAATTCAAGTGGATAAGAAAATGGCCAATTTTGAATTAGTAACAAGAGAAATGATCTGTCAAAATAGTTTATGATTCTAATCTTGGCTAGATTAATGCCCAGTTTCCGAAAGGCCAATCAAAGCAGCAATCACGTAACACTATGTCAAAAATGATCAGCTGTTAATCTCTTGTTAAGCTGCCTTGGGTTTCTGGAAGGTTTGTTCAAGAAAAATTAGCTAATCACTGTATAACCAATGATAATGAATGAAATGAATGATTTACTTCAACTAACTCTTTCTATTGTATAGCTGTCCCTTTTTAAACAAAACTTAAAATAACGTCCTGTCACCGTGTGATTGCCAACGTAAAATCCGAGCTATAATAAAATTTAATTTATATAAATACATGCAAAATGTCAAGAAAAAACTTTAAAAAAAATTAACTTTTATCCATAATAAACAAGTAAGTATTATAAAAAGAAAGAATCCATATTATTTATTAACTTTTGAATTACATTTTGTATTTTTTCTAATCGCAATATATGTTCGCATAATAATAAATAGGTAATAGAACACATGAATGTCCTTACAACGTATTAGGGAATTATATTTATTTTTAATAAAACTAAGATTTTTGATAAAATAAATTTTTAACCAACAATTGATCGTTCAAATTCACAGATTACTTAATAAAACTTTGACAGCTCGTTGACCACCGAAAAACGCTTTCAGAAACTCGATATTCTGTTGAATGTCCGTTAATCAGTGACTAATTGCAAATCAAAATCAATGTTGTTTTTAGACGTTCTAGCAACTCAGATCATGTTAAACAACGATTGACAAGAGATTTATCGTAAATTAAAATTGATTGCGCTTTCGGAAACTGGGTGTAAATGTTTCAAATTTTAATTAGACCTAACAGAAATATGTACAGGAACAGATACTTTAAAAAGCTTTATTTCAACAGGTGTTTGTTGTTTTATGGCGTGTAATTTAGTTATTTAGTATTTTTCGAATGTATAAATACTATATATTTATACATTCTTAATTAATTAAAAATTGTAGATGCAAATTGTAGATGCACTTTTTATTTTGTGTACGCATTTAACTTATTAATGTTTTTTTTATTTTATATTATCCCTGTTTCAATTGTTCAATTTTTATTAACAATTTGTTAATTTAACTGATTCAAAACTTGTTATTATTGCATTCTTTGTAATTTATTCGTAAACTTTGTGAACTATTAATAGTTTGCACCTTTTATTGAGGTGCAACTAAACATGTTATATACACCCCGTCTTCTTTTTGTTGTACACTTTATAGGTACTTCAAATAAATGAGATTTCCATTGGCTTTTTGATATATCACTCGATTGATTTGACGCGAATCTTCATATTCCTATCCTAAGGTCTATCTATTTATTGATGAACGTAAATTCTATGTTAACCTTACTTAAGTACAAACGTACACGATTCGCACATATCACTGATATAGCATCCGATGGTGCACAACAAAACCGTCTACATACAAGCGAGTTTAGACCAAGTTAACCGCACGATTTAACCGCACGTTTGTAACGCGCCTGCAACACTGTCGCGCTCTGCTAGCACCACTGCACTGGACTGACAGGGTGTTAAGCGGAGAGAGGTGGCCCCAACAGCTCAGGTGTTGGCTGCCCCACCAGGCGGAGACGCGTTCGAACCCGTTTCTGATGCGCTTATCTCAACACCGCTCAAGTCATCTCGCGTAAGATAAGGTCATGCGTAGCATCATAATGTTACGTTTTGTGTCGTGTTATATATGCTTCGCACGTGTGCAATGTATTATACATATAAACCTTCCTCTTGAATCATCTCTATCTCTATCTAATAAAAAAAACCGCATCAAGATCCGTTGCGTAATTTTAATGATCTAAGCATACATAGAGAGACAGATAGCGGGACGACTTTGTTTTTACTATGTAGTGAAGTAAAGTAGAGTTAACCAAGTATTCAAGATTTGACAATAATCGTTATTAAAAAATTATTCGTACAAAATTAATCCATACTAATATTATGAATGCGGAAGTAACTCTGTCTGTCTGTCTGTCTCGCTTTCACGCCAAAACTACTGAACCGATGTAAATGAATTTTGGTACACAGATAGTCTAGAGCCTGATAAAGGAGGGTAACCTATTTTGAGTATTTTTTAATTGGAAAAAGTGTTGTAAAGGGTTAAAGATATTTATTTAAGGGCTTCATAGCGAGCTAAGCCGCGTGCAAAGTTAGTATGATATAATAATTCCGCAGTCCTTTCCGCGATGATATCGTATTACTTTTTTTATTTGAGAAGGGGGCAAGCGAGCGGGCGGTTCACCTGATGTTAAGTGATAACCGCCATGGACATTTGTAACACCCGTAGGGTCACAGATGCGTTGCCACCTTCAAATAAGGTGGACCCCGGCTACCTCACTCACCAGACGAAACGCAGAAGTGTAACACTTCTACTTTACGCCGGTCTTGATATTTACCTGGACGGACCTGATAATTTATTCTACAGTGAAGACTGTTGCGTGGCCCTACAACAGTCTTTACTATTTCATTTATACAGCATACACTATGTGGAGAATGTTTTTTTTACCCGCATTACTTAATTCCACGTGCCTTAGATACGATCTCTCGGTTTTATTGAGTTCACATAAAAATCGGCAGGTATTAAATAACTTAAGGTTTAATTCAGCGAGGGTGTTTTTTAAGATCGTGTCTTAAGTCTCACCTTAATTACAGTTAATTGCGGAGTTAAGAAGCCCACGGTGGTCTTGCGAAATGTGAAAATACATATATAAGTAATGAGTACATATACATAGGTACCCTTTACTTGCCGTTTTCGAAATTTAACTCATAAAAAGGTAAGGATGTCAAACGTTTAGAGAACTTCTGCTCATGTTATCCGTAAGACGAAGGTCTAACTTATAGCAGCAGCAAAAAAAAATACAGACAAGAAAGGGTTT